TATTTGAATTAAATTGCGCGCATACACGTTGGCACGGTTACTGTACGGACTTGGTCTGGGCAAAAGTTAATAATATAACGAGGCCAGTGGTCTCGTTCATATCGAGGCCTTCGGCCTCGTCTAGGGGAAAAAGCTTTAATAACGAGTCCTCCGGACTCGTTTACAACGAGCCCAAAGGGCTCGTTAAAACCCCCCCATACCCCCACCCTCCTAAGACACATTTTTTATTGTTCTTTATTTTTATTAAAAGTTATTTTAATTTATTAATTTTAAATTTCAATAATAAATATTTTTTCGTTGTACCTGACGCGTGACTCGAACCTGCAACGTTTTTTCCTGAACCTAATCTGATCTACCTAACACTCTAACGATCACGCCACCAACATTATTGAGTGGTTGTCGTCTTAATATTCATTACATTCATTATTGAATAAAGACGAAACTGCAATACCAACCAGGATACATAACAACAACATGCATACAATTTCGTGACAACATATATTTAAGAAACAGAAGATGTAAATAACTATAATTAAAAGGAATTTTCTTTGTTTTGAGCAGTATTATTAAATTTCAAATAAAAATAAATATTTAAAAATTATTATATTATATCAAAAGGCAAGTGAAAAACTGATTTCCGCACAATAGGATTCGAACTCAGGCCACTTAAGTTTAAATTATAGAAATCATATGTTAAACTTTAAAGTAGGTATATATTCCTAAGGAAAGCGGCTGATGTAAATGCTTTATTTGTTTATAATAAATGTGTAACTAATTAATACTAAAATTTAACCAAGGAAAAAAAATTTATATTGAAAAAATAATAACAATATTAAAAATGGGAAATTTTCAGGCGCGCTGGGATTCGAACTCGGTCCAGCCATTTCTTTATTTCAACTTCGTTATTGTACTTTTCTTTTTTTATGGTAATAACATATGAACATCAATTTGCGCACAAGCATTCGTACTAAATAATTGAAAATTATTTCGGTAGAATAAGAATTAAAATAAATAAATATATAAATCTATTTTTTTTTGATTTATTAACTTCGTTTAATTAATTTTATTTCATTATATTTATTTAATTTTATTACATTAAACATCATACATTTTAGTTTAATTTGGTATATAGAAAATTAATATAAACAAAACATAAATGAATTGCAACTGTTTAAATTAGTATAATTTCTTTAATTGCTTTTGTAATGTTGCATTCATTGGATATGAATATGACATGGAATGTCAGAAACAAATACGAAATATTCATCCCGAGTTCGAGACCATCCAGTTGTGATAAATCTTGTACTCACCAGTGAATTTAATTAAAATGATAAGTACATAAAATGCAATGAAATAAAACGAACCATGTAAACGTAAGTATATCAAAATATAAAAAATAAAACAGAATATATAATTAATTGGACTCAAGTTATTTATTAAAACTAATTTCACCATATGTTAAATGTGTTTTAATTTCGTATATTATGTTAAAATTCTTTTTTATTGGAAATCAACATAGTAACGTTTACTTTTTGCACAGAGTAGAATGCAGCGCATATCTAAAACTCTTCTTATGGAGCTGGTTGTAATACCGATATCCCACTTTCATCCGACTGCTGCGGCTCAGCATTCTTTCGAAATATAATATGTATTATAGCCATTGCGCGTTATTCAAATAAACGAAAGAATTGAGCTGGTGTGCTTCGTCAGGAAAAAATATATTTTGCATTTCGACTTTTTTGGACACAATTATTGCGACATCAAGTCATGAAGAAATCTGTTAAAGCGGTTGCTTCTCTTGTCGTTCTATAGAATTAGATTTTTACTCGCATATGTACACAGGTGTACGCCATGCCGAAATTCAACGGATAGCTTTGAACTTGTGATTACAATTAATGAGTATCATTTCATATCAAAAAATTCACAAACGTATGTTTTATCGCTTTAATATAGAAGTGATTTGCTTTCTTCAAATCTTTGTTTTATTGAAAGATGATCTCAACATAAAACAGCTTATCTCTTTGATTTTTAATTTTCTCTACATTAACCCACAGACATAAATTGAATGCGTAACAATTTAAATTATGCCCTTATATAAAGCGAATAAATCTATACAAAGAATTAAGGGCAACAAGGCAGGACGGGTGTTTGCGAACTTCTTTATATAATTGAGCCTAAATGACTTTCAATAATTAAGTCAGCAGTAAAATTGTCCATTCGTAGTATGTGTTTCTTTCTGAAAATAAAGCAAAAAGTAAATTTACGAGAGTAATTTAAGATTCGAAAATTAATTAGATTTAAGTTCGATCTTTTCATCGGAGACTTTGCAACCTTTCCTGATTAAAAATTATTTTGCCCATCTGTAGATTATCAAAAGACTTCTAGATATAACGAGATTTTTGGGGAAAATGTGTGTGCTGAAATTATGAATGTTTGATCAGGGTAAATACTTACACTAATGACGTCCGATCAGCTTGTTAACAGTTAGGTTCAGAAAGAACATTAAATTTGATATTAGAAGATTAATTTAAAGAAAAATGAGGTAGACTCTGGCATAGTAAATTTGAGATTTGTCGTCTAAGAGTTATTTATACTGAGTATAAAACCGCTTGGTTGTTGTTGTGATGACAGCTTTCCGTGTCCCTCCTGCATAGAGGCGAGTTCACATCCAGGTTCGATATGTTTTCGGAGACTGTGTTAGGACCGCGGTGGGAACAAATTAAGTATAGAGAGATTTTTATAGGCTGATCTTAGGCATACGTATTTTCATATAATGAGGAGACAGTTTGATTTAACGATATCACTTATTCAAATACATATAACTATCAATATTGAGATATTCTTATATATATAAACTCATTCCCTCGTGTGGGAGGGAAGTGGTGTGACAAATGGTCAGAATCGGATTATTCCGGCCTCGCCCACAATCATACACTTCCAATTCTTGCCGTATTGAATAACCTGTATTACCTCCGCTAATGTCAAACTAGTGGTTATTTAAGTCTCGATCCTATTTACTACTCAAATTCGAAATGAGATGAGTAGACACCAAAATATAGACCAGATATCTGATAAACTGATTTATAGCTTTATTACCGTCTGGTGTGCAGCGTTCAACCCTTCCCGAAACTAATTTATTTAACTTACTTTGCATTGCGATTAATATGTCTTACTTTGGCAGATACTGGAACAATAAACTGATCGTTTACAATGGTGCTATTATTCTGGTGGCAGTAAATGTCCGGATGGTTATTTCCTACTTGCGAAGTTCCGTAAGGTTTCAGCTCGTCATAATTATTTAAAAGATGAATTTGAGATTTGTTCATGTCCTGATTGGTATTGGTATGAATAAGGCAGGTGTAGGTTAGGTTTGGTACATTGGCACGCTCTAAGCTGAGTCGACTCTTTAAAAATTATAAAATAAAATAAATCATTATATTGAAGGTACGTAGGTATAAGAGGTAATAAAATGTATGTTTTCGGTGAAACCTGCTCGTTACTTGGCTATTGGTCATATTTTACCTTTTAGTATAGAAATAGATACATTATTCTACTTCAAATATAAAAATTAAAATTTTTCACATTTCCTTGGTAAACAAATTTTCCGCCAAGATCTATGAAAAAAGTTCTTCTTTACCAACAAGATTTCTCCTCCACAGCTATCGTCTTTTAGAGGCGTTATCTTGGTTGTTAAATGATTTTAATCCAAATGCCTCTAAATGACTTGTAAGAAAAGCTGATATTTTCATAAGAGTAATAGACTCGTAGGGATTCCCAATATCTTCCAAAGGTAGCTTTTGATGTCAAAAATAGAAAGCGTTAATTCGGTGGAATAGAATAGGACGTTAGATTTGAAAATTGTTTGATTATATATATCCCTTTAACAAAATTGGTAATAGTACAATACGGATTTGCGGAAAAGTTTTGTTTCATACATATTGAGCCGCTCTACCATACACATATATGTTTGAAACCAGAACATCGTGAAGAGAGACTTGAACTGCATTTTTTTTATCAGGGGAATCAATTATGATATCATTAATGTGGAAGTGACAGTATATTTCAAAGTTTGTTATAGTGTTCTCAAAACTTGGCAAAATGCTTACTTTGCTGAAAAATGGTGTTGAGGTAAAGGTGAAGAGGCCCGTAATTATCAGAGTAATTATGTGTTAAATTTCTAGGGAGTAATGCCTTCGGCTTAATATTACCCTCCAAATAGAACGGGGTTGAAATTTATTTTCATAGTCCTGTTCATTAAACTCATCTATTGTATCAACGATATGATTATTTGACATTATATTTATATTTGCTTATAAATTATGAATTGCCAAAAACACAAATTCTATTTCTAAAAATAGTATTGTGTATACAATACGAGGAATTTTCAAGCCCAGCGTATTCTATTCTATTGCGCCAGATTGGGCTATATTTAACTGTTTGTGTTTATTACATTTACAATGTAATACTTATACATACCACAAAGCGGTTGCAAAACGCCAATTATGAAAATCGTAATGAATAGAGACGACGGAGTTATCTTTCTAGAAGCTTTGAGGGTAAGAGGAATGCAATGGGGCCGCAGTAGTAGTACAGATCATTTAGCCTAGGTTTGCGCGAATATGGGAGTATACTAGCTACATAACGAGCTTTAGCTTCGAGGATTTTCGATTGAATCTGAATTTTTTTAATATATGTATGTGTAAATATTTAGAGTTCTCTGTTACGTAAATACCTTCATATGCATAGGTATTTTTTTATTTATATGAATTTCTTACTACGAAGAAAATTTAACTCTTTAATATAGTGTCCAGTTTAATTCTCTTCTTTTCCGGTAGTAGACCTGAAACCTATCTATTCTGAAAAATCATATTTTTGACGTTTTGTCCAAATAAATGTTGTAGTTGTTTTCTTGAAACGACTAAGCAGTTTTATGGGAAGGGATGTTTACTTTACTAATGCTGTCTATTAGAAGTTTTTATTTAATGAATTTATGGAGTTTACTTTGCTTAGTAAGAGGTAACTTTGAATGCGTATGATTTAATTTGTCATTAAATTCTGATTTGTATTTGATGTTGGTACAAATGTATGAAAGTTGAATTTGTATAATGATTTATTTTAGTAAACTGCTTGCTGCTTCATATTCTTTCTCATTGCTATTTTTAATTACTTTTGGATTCTTCGAAGCGGGTGATTCCCCTAAGCAGCACCTCTTTAGTTTACTCAAGTATCCCATCTCAGCTTCCCCGTCATTGGAATCATCAGCTCCAGGGGATTTTTTAATTTCAGGCATAAGATCATCCAAAATCTTTAATTCTCTGCGTGTAAAAACCATATCCAAAGCCTTTCGTATTCCAATCATAACCACAAGCATTAATGGAAATAAGATGGATGTCTGGGAGAAAGATTTTATGACCCATAATATGATGAGGCAAGCTAACTGTATGGCCGTGAACAGATGGACCCTTTTAATAGGAACCTAAAACAAAAAAAATTTTTTTTTTATTATTATGTAATAAACCGTCATGCAAAAAATTTTCTTCAAGTATATTACAATATCTGTACATTTTAACCTTGATAGTGTTAAATTGTAACCGTAGTTTTAAAATTTTGTGGTATATATTTACAAATATATTTTCAGTATTTCAAATGAACTCACAAATTCGTGGATAAAGCCAATTTTCAACAAAATATTACTGCTTTTTCATTTTTAGGCTCGAAGCATTTTAACTTATGTTTTATATTCCAGTATACTGGACTTTTTTCTTACAATGACTGCTCTTTATATTAAATGTACAAAGTGTTCAATAAGTGATACCCATCCTCCAGAAAAACTATTTAACATATGTATGTGCGTGAGGTCACAATACAAACTTTTTTCACAGAATAATCACATAAGTTCCACCGAGTGTTATTCATTTACATTGAAGTCTTTTAATCTTGACCATACATCCTAATACTTATGTATGTATATAAATTAAGTATTTCTCCACACAGTTTTGCCTTTTTATTCGATAGTGCTTACCTTTCGAAGAAACATGAAATCCGGTTGGTATTTCAACGGCATAAACATAATTAGGATTCGATCAAAAAACTGCAAGCCTGACAAGGATGCTATTCCCATATAAAGAAATACACCATACAATACAGGCATAGGTATGTGGCAAAGTAATGGCGTTAAAGTTACTGAAAGTCCTATTGTTAAAAATATTAGCACGTGTGTTACGCGCTGTTCTCGGACGCCTAAAAATTGAGGTTTTTCTCCAGGCGCTGAGCATTCCGATTCCAGTTTTAATGAATTAACGTGATTTATGCTGAGAACAGTGGCCGCAACAAACCTAAAAAGTGCGTAAGTGAAATTTATTTTGCTCCAAACAATCAAATAACAAATTATATAAATAGTCAAGATCAAATACTTAGCTACATACCATGGCAATCCCATAAAACTGCATATCTGTATGAGAATTGAAAGTATGAACAAATCCAAATGATAACCACAACCCTTTTTGAGCTTATTTTCTTTGCGGTTTATAATTACGGAAGTAATTTGCTGATCCATGAAAATTAAAATAGTACCCAACATCGCTGGAAAGATTGCTATGACTGACGTCCACCATGGATTATTCGTCGTAAATAGCGGAACTAGCCAACCACGTGAGCTTAAAGTAGGTTTGAACTCATGAGGTACATCAAGTTTTGGTGTAGCTATGTTCATTATGAAATCCAGAAAAGACATAGATAATATTGCAATGATCACAGCGAAGTCACTAATGTACTGTCGTACAACCGACGGAAAATATGGTGCGTTTTTGAAATTTTTTAATATCACTGATATAATAAATGTACCCAAGAACAAAATCAGTGACATGAGGAATATGTTTTCAGTACTCGAACGGGCGCAATCTATTCCAATGAGAGTACCATTGTTGACCTGAAAAAATGGCATCGACGTAAACTATATCCAATTATTATTAAAAACATTTTTACTCACCAGACAAGTTGATTCCTTATATTTTACATAATCCCAAATCGTAAGATTGCTATTCGCAGGAGGTGTACATACGCAATCGTAAATGGGATTAGTTATTGGGAAGTTAGATTTTATGATCCAGACGTTTTCAATGGCCTAATATGATAAGATTCGACTATGTGAATTACTTAAAAACAAATTTGCTTATATTAATATTATATTAATGAAAAATCGTTGGATATGGAAAAGTGTAAATTTGTTTAGAAAATACTACCTTTTTAAACATAAAATGAAAATAATCACTTTTTGTATGTATGCAAAATGGTGTTACAAATCAAGGATTGTTATTCTTGTGAATAAAAAATGCAAATATGCCGAACAACTCATGGTGATTACCCTTAACATGCGACAGTGACATCTTAAAAAATAAATAAATAAAAAACATTATGTAGCGCTGTAAGCTGCTTGCAAATATCAATATTTCACATATCAAATAGAATCATATGACATCAGACAAAAACTTTTTAGCACTATGGTTAACTACGGCATGAATACGTAATGTTGATTTCGCAATCAACAACAATTAACAACGTTTTTTAATCTGTATTTCTTCTATTTCGGTTAATAGATATCGATATTTTCTTTACTTAAATTTTCCTTTGCTTCTTCCGTTCGGAACCAGAGAACACAATTTTTGAGTCTACCAGTCCAAAATAGCGCCTGGTGGCAAGAGTAATTCCACATTGGATTTCAAAGCTGGCCCCGTTGTGGGTAAATAAATCAAGTTGCCTAAAACAACTTCAAAGTATTTGTCATCAAAATTGATATGGCAGCCAAACCACGAGTGGGCTGACTATTTGTTTGATGGCAGGATATATTTCCTCTTGCATTCGCTTAATATACATATACTCGTATGACAGGATTAAGGTAGTAGTTATTGTTCCCACAGAACGCTAGATAGGTCCTATATGTACGTCATATTAAAAAGGTGTTTCCTTCTTGTAGATTTGGTAGGATCAAGACACCGATTGTGTCTAATTAAAGGTTGATCAATCTATAACTTATGTTTATACAGGTCAAAACTGCTTGAATCGTCGTTTTAAGCAATTGGATATACAGATATGTCCCAATATATTCGTATAATTTAGGTTATAAGAAAACGAAAATAGATGAGTTTGAAATGGTTATTATATGTTACTTGAAGATTCTTCGTTTTAATTTACCTTATATATAAAAATAAAAGCTATTAGGGTAGCGAAATTTTCTTCCGTAAAACGAGTAATATAACAAACCAAAGCACTGGCATCAATAGCCGTTAAAAGTAGTAATATGGCTGCTATCCAAGAACCAATCCAGAAACGAAACGTTAAATAATCCCAACCCTGGTTTAGGCAGAAATCATATACAATGGTCTCAAACACTAAAACTGGCCCAGTAGATCCTAAAATTGTAAGTGGCTGACCGGAAAAAAGTCCATATCCTATGCCGCAAATGAATCCTGAAACTAGTGATTCCATCGCAGCAATATTTTTCCCTGTAGCTTGGGATAATAGGCCACCGAACGTAATAATTGGCGAAAGACAAGCAAAGTACAAAAAGATCCACGAGGCAACACATTGCACGGAAATTCCATCCTTAAAATCTGAATAGTACCAAACTGCTTTTCTTTTGAAATCATTTTTTAATCCTCCGAAAAGATGACCAGTACGAATTAGTCCTGATTTGTATCGTAAAAGTTGCTCCTCTTCTTCCTCATCCATATCTTTGGATATTTCGAGAGGTCGCTTACGAATATCTTGTGAAGGTATTTCAGCAGGGGGTTCAATTCTTATTGCTGGATCCCACTCGCCTGGTGGTAGCACAGTGACAGCATCTAGAAATTCATCAATGCCAGCAATTAAGTGCTCACTTTTTTTTGCGCGATATGCGACTTCATGGAATATTTTATCAGACATAAGTGTGCCTACAGCTCGTCCGATTTCCTGTATGTTAGTTTGGCTTCCTGGTCCTCCTAAAGCAATAAAAATGAACCTGAAATAGAAGTTTCATTAAAAGAATGTATGAGGATATTATCAACGGTAATAACAAACCGTGATGGTATAGGAACTTCAGTTAAGTCGCCTAAAAATGTTCCTTTTTTCAAACGAATAAATACTACCAATATCTTTTTCAAACAATCCACTTCACCTACAAGAATGTTGTTCGCTTCAGCGCCCGGTGGAATTTTTCGCATGAAGTTTGTATTTCTTTTGTGATTGGTGAGGTCGCTAGAACTGTTGTTGGGATTTATGCAGGCGTTACTAGGGCTCTTCATCATATGTTCTCCTATTTTTATAAATTTCAAATGAAAATAATTAAAATTAAAGTGATTATTGATTTTTAAATTCTGGCACTAAATTAGATTTCTATATACTTCTATTACAAATTATTGATTTTTAAATTCTGGCACTAAATTAGATTTCTATATACTTCTAATACAAAAAAAATTTAGAGATAGGTGGTGGAACTCTTCGTAGCATACACGTATGTACTTTATGTTTATAAATGCGCCTCGTTTTCCGCTCAAGTTCGGAGATGTATTTAAATATCCTACTTTAAAGCAATACCAAATAGAAATATGATGATAGGAGTAAAAGTTTCAACAAGTTTTTCATTTACCAAGGTTATAAATTCAGAAACAAAAATTTATGTATATTTATTTTTTACATACTTTTCACGAACAACAAATGGGATATTGCCATTGGTCCGAAGCATGTAAGAACCAAGATGGAGAAAATACCGACGAGCTAAGTTGAATAGGCCATGTCCGTCGGTCAATCAGTAGTATTTCAGAAGTATTTTTGTACAATATTGTATATCAAGTTTTTTGGAACTGGTCTGACCGAACTGCTATTACATATAGCCTATCATAATACATTTGTTCAGATATTTTGTTTTGATTCATATATACTTCCTAAAGCATCTAAGAACATGAAGTTTGGTATTCTAACAAATCCTCGAAATCGGAATACATACCTCCCATGTATCCGATTTGTTCAGATATGAGGTTTTAGACCCTGTATTCAGGAAAACTGAAATTAATACAATAATGGAGTTCTTCAAGTGTTTTTTTTTCGGACGGGAAATCCATTTTGCAAGTTTATTTTTATCTAAAATTCACAATAGGTGACACTTTCATAAAATTTTCACCTCTTATAGTGTTTCCTTGGAAGTAAAAAATGGTAATTTTTAACCAAAATTTGGGAGTTGAATTTACGATAGCTGACACTTTTACGCGATTCTCGTTTTTCTATAGTGTTCCATTGGAAAATAAAAAATTGGTATTTTTTGGCCTAAATTTGGGATGTGAATTCTTAGTTTTTAATTAACTTATTTCAAATACAGTTTTACTTACTTTGTGAAGCAGATTGGTTACGGCTGATCTCAGCTAGTGAACGAATGATTGGTATTCCTTTTTCTTGTTTACTATACTCGTGTTGATGACGATGACGGCGTAATAAAAGTTCTGCAATTTGGCCACGAAAATCTAATGGTAGCGTACCACTACTAACCAAGTTGTCACAAAGTAAGTCAATTATGATTTCTAGGGTAGTGGCTTCCATATCCAATATAATGGATCCTTTTTGTAATAAATTCCTCAATTCAAATAATGAGTGGAGAAATAAAGTGGCAACATGTGGTTTGGACCATCTATTTCCACCTTCTTCCACATCCTCCTCAAATTTTATCCATCGAGCTATCTCTTTCCACTCAAATTCATCATTCAACATCATTTCAGAAAAGACTGGATGTATTTCGTTAACGCCATTGCAATCATCCTCCCCTAAAATAAATTGGACTCTTTGTGCTGGAGGAGTAGCTGAAAATCAAAAATATGATTAAGTTTCTATTACAAGGAGGTTCATAAATTACATTATATAACATTTTCAAGCTACAATCAACTTCAAATCATTCCGCAACATATATATCCTTAAATATGTACGAGTATTCACATACGAAAAGCATTACAATTCGAAAAGAGTGAATCAAAATTATGATTACGCAGGCAGAAGGTAAACTAGTATGCAAAATATTCTAGGCAAATATCAGAGTTTCGGAGATAGAATCAATATCAGACCAGTTGGTTAAATTGGTAGTAGTTTACCAGTAATGGGAGTAGTAACAATTTCCACACTCATGTGTTGTTATATCAACCACGCCACGGTTAAGTTCCATTTGCGATAACCTTCTGTTGAAGTGTATAAAATGACGCCAATAAATTTATAACTACAATAGCCGAGTGGCTATAAATTGTCGCTGTAGTGCGATAGGTTCGTGGTTCAAGTCTCGTTGTGAGCAAATAATTTTTTTTATTTTTTATATTTGGTAAATCAGAAATTTTCACCACTACGCTGCGGCTGAGTTTCATTTCCTAATAAACTCTGTTGAAATGTGCAGATCTCATAGCAACCCCGTTAGCAGATCACCTTAGCCTTGTGCCATGAAGTTATCACTGAAGCGCATGAGGTTCACATGCAGGGAAACTAATTATTATTTGTGTGTGTAGAAATTAGACATGCCTAAATGAATTAATATACAACTAGCATAAAGCTAATGCATATTCGGAAAATTGTTAGTAGGCTATCGCCGTTTTAAAATTGCCACTTGATTACATGGAAAATAGATGGGAAATGAACTAATAAGTGCAAAAAAGCTATCCAATATAAATATATGTAAATATAATATATGTGTATGCCAAATATGAACATACGTATACTTTAAACTGTTTTAATTCGTATTGTATTTGAAAAGTTTGAAGTGGTTGTGATCCTAATCCGTTAGGATTTGACTAAGTATTGTAGAATATGGGAATAGGTTTACGTAAGATTATTTTTAGAGAGGAGGCAAATATCTAGCAAGTGAAATTTTGGATAGCATATTCTTTTTGAAGACAATACAGACGATTGCACAACATAAGCACCAAATAGGTCAGCAGTTAGTGACATACGATGTATCAAGAACCTTGGAAATTATTTATAAAATCGTAAAATCTTAAATTTTCACTGGCAAACTAAAAAAAATAATCTCCCTCGGTTTATATTTTTCAAATTTCCTATAAAACAATTGCACCTATAAGTTTTATTAACTCTTTACTTTTTCAATTCTATTTTCGCCCAAAAAAAGGTGCAACTGTAAGTGGATAACTGCTTTCAAGGAAATTTGTTTCTTTTAAGATTTCTTATCCAAATATTGTATTCAAAGGTCTTTAATATCTCTTTTTTCCATATGTCAATTCTTCTCTACTTGCAAATACAATCCACAGAAAACTCTAAGAAATAGTGAAATCACCTTAGATTTCTCAATTTTTCGGCAGCAATAGTTAAAACTTTAAGCGAAAACTCTTTTACACATACTCTTTTTACATAATCGAAATATCTTCAAACAAAAGATATTTCATATTTATTTAAAGATATACAGCAGATCCGTTTACGTATTGCAATAGCATTCCTGAATTTTTTTCAATCATTAGTTATGCAATATCATTGGTGTTATCAAGGTGATTATTAAAGAAAGATTTCAACGCAACTAAAAATTGAATTAATTTTAATTTAATGTTTGATGAATTAGGTATGTATTGTAGATACATGATAATTAAGATGATTCTAAATAATATTTTATAATTATGTGCACAGTGCCACATAGTCGCTAGAGGAATCACCGGAAACGTAAGTGAGGTAACGGTATTCGCTGGGAAATTTTATGAAGACATACTGTTATCTTGCATTATACAAGGGAGCCAAAGGAATACGTGATCGGCTCTGCTAATTTGCGTATAAATTTAATCTAAATATTATGATTTATAATCAATAAAATTTCTCGCTCTTACCTGGAATTTCTTTTTGGTTTTGCCGACCGCTGTTATTTTCCTTGTATATGTGATATTTACGCCGCCTTGTTAAATGGCGGCGACCACTTGGTATATGTAATCCAAGGTATACGGTATGAATGCGATGTCCTACAAAACAAAATTGAAATGAAATAAGAAGTTCTTTGGAATATTTAATTCCCAGATATAAATAGTAGTTCTATGCTTCATTTTTCCACATTTTTTTAACAAGATTTCTTCAATTTATGCAATATATTCTTGAATTTTTAAGTCGTGTACGCATGTATTTCATTTCATTTAAATGGACTGAAACGTAGAAACGTGAATATAGTGGCTAACGATCTGATCTCACTTCAATATGTAAAAAAAACCTAACTTTAAAAACAATTAAGATATTTATAGACAAAATTTCAAAATTAAAATAAACAATGGAATCAATTATAGCAGGGACAGCACCTTAAGAGCTCGTCACATCTTATCAGTATTCTTATCAGCCTGGTGTAACAAGCGCTAACCGTTGTGCTATCTAACATGCCTAATACAATGCTTAAAAAATTCATTCCACTCCGTCACTCATATTTATGCATATATTAGACCACCAAGCTTCTCAGAAGTTAGTTTTTATTTCATATCCTTAAGGTCAATGCATAGAACTTCAAAACGAAATTTCCTTGACATTAAATACTGTATTACAGTACCTACCAGATATAAAATACTACTACTAGATCATTAACGCTTTGAAGCGCAAAGTATACCGAATGATTCAGTAATTTAGAGTAATACATTTAATTAATGGAAATTTATAATTTATATATTTAAAATGCTGTTCCCATAAGATAATTTTTTACCCGAAATTTTTTCGGCTATATACTTTAAAAAAAGCTCCCATTTGACAGCGCACCTAGTCTGTGTGCTGTGGCGAATGCTACCAGCAATAACATTACAAACATACGAGTATGTATAAGAGCTTCTTCGCCGAATGCTACCAGCAATAACATTACAAGCATACGAGTATGTATAAGAGCTTCTTCGCCGATTTGTAGATTGAATCTTCATGTTTCCCCTAAAATGGAGAGAACTAGAGTTTTAATTCTCTTCGGAACGGCTGATGGATTTTTCTGAGGAATACACTCGAAGTGATTGACATCCACAGTGGAGGGAAGTAGCACGTACTACTCTAATAATATACTCGAGTACTTTTGCTACGTAATTCATATTCGGTTAGATTTTGCTTTAGGAGAAAGTCCCTAGGTCTGAAACTTCTACATCTTAAGACTACTGCCGTTCCTGATGTTATAAAAATATTGTCAATATTTCAGAATATATTTGTTTATTTAATATAAAGACGTAAAAAAGAACATATGTGAATACTAACCTTCAAAATCGTGTTCCGTAAAATGCTGCGAGAAGTCTTGGTCGGCAGTTCTTGGATCTTTTGATGCTTCATCGTGTTCCATGGACGCGTGCATTTTCCACGGGCTGTAAAAATAGTTTTAAATAAGCCAACATGAGTTATTCGATTAGAAATGCTTGTTAAACTTTAATATTATATATTTATATATAGGAGGCCCTTGAGATTATAGATATTTTATTAAAATCTTCAAATAATAAATTGACCATTCAAAGCAGAAAGTATTAAAAGATGTGGGAATCCTACTCAGAAATGGGGGGCTGAATACAGAAGGAAGCGTGTCTGTTAAACCGAAGCAATAATTGCTGAAAGAGTAGTTTCTAAAAATCGGTGATCTAAGAAAGATTAAATTGACAGGTTCTACAAAGTGTAGGTTCAATAAAATCTCATGTAGGCCATTTTGCCACGAATTAAATGACCAAAAACCATACGTTGTTATACAAATAATTATACTTTAAAACAAGTTTTCTTGATTTCGAAAAGGATAGTAACACTCTTATAAAGTCGTTTATCAGATGATGGTAGATCTCCCAGTTGTAACTGCCTTAGCTAATAAAAACGGATTGCGTTACTCCACGGAAGTGCGTTAACTTATAATTTTCATATATTAATAAATGCGGAAGCGACTTTAGTGCGAGCTCTTCCTCCGATTTATGAAGTGTGTTTTGATAAGAAATACTAAGCAATAACAATTTGGAGGAGTGGACATATGAACGAAAGGGTTGAATTTTTACTAAACACGAAATTAACTGCTTAAACTGTATAAGTCTTCAGGGACATGTAATATTTGTCCATCTAAGATGCAAAAGTTTTAATTAGAGCTAGCACAATATACGAGGGATGTTCCGTCCCTTAGAGAGAACCCAGGTTTGTATTTATAAAGCTAGCAAGCCAAGGAATTGATGTGATTAACCTCATTTATTCGGAAAAAAACTTGCAGCAGTTGACATAAATATATAAAGAGCAACAGCTGACAGAGAACGCCAACTCTACATAGAAAGAACTCCGAGTAGAACGAATATACTATGAGAATTTATCTTTTTATAAGTGGAGCTTTTAATAACGTTTCTAAAGACGGAAATGGCGAATAGTCTTATAGAGTTGCAAAAGGATAACGGCAGAGTGAAAAGGGGTCAGACTTATTACACCAATTTGCATATGAACTCCCAAGCCGACATTGCTGAAGTGACAACAACTCCATCTAATACAACAAAGTTATATGCACAGCATAGTAACCACAAAACTGCTCGCTCGCAGTCATCTATATAACTTTAACTACAGTGCGTAGTAGTCTATCGAACGCCACTAATCTTATCCACCTGTAATTACTACCATGTTGGTCTCATACATAAATATAAGTTGCGACTGCTATGAATATGATAAGACCGTCAAATCCAAAAAATCATTGGTACGATCTATTTTTCAGGGTCTATGATTCAATATAAATATTTATAAAGAATCTTGTAAATATTTGCTACGGATCTATAGTCTATGGATACCATATACTGGTCTGACTTAATTGAAATTTAGTTCGTATGTAGCTTTATAGTATACTTTAGCTAAAAATTTGTTATGGCTAAATACTTTATGAAAAATTAACCAAGTAGTAGATTGTTTTGAGCTTAACAGAGGCGTTGCAATCATAGCGGTTGCAGACAAATGCAGCATTAATATGGGTAAGCGTGGAGCAGAGGAATGGCGTTTGGCTTACTACGGCTTATACAATCAAATATGGCGGTAGATTAATAATACAATAATAAGCTTAATTACATTTTTTAATCATTCTTTATAAATCACCTTCGTTATACTAATTGCAATATCTAATATATGAATGAGTGATATACAAGAAGAACAAAGAAAAGCGCGGGCGAGCATGCTAGTTTTATTTTATTCGATATACTTTTTTAAATTCTTTCTTCTTGATTATAAAATACAAATCATTCTAACTTAGATAGCACTTATAAAATTTCTGGATAAGAGCAATGCTATCTTTATTACCTTTTTGTGTGCCTTTATATTATATTTGCAGTACTTCATTAACGTCTATGTATATAATAACATTAATTTTACTTAAATGGTTACAGCTCAGTATAAAATTTTTAAATTTCGAATCATATGAAAATCACTGCTCAATTAAGCCCTACAAAAAAATTGAATTTTGGCAGTCCGAAGACATGCAAATATTGGGATACTCACTATTTTATTTCGTTCATCCTTCGCAATTATTGAAGTTGTTTATAATTGGGGTCCCACAGCCCAAATGAAGATGTTATTTTTAACAAAAAATTTACCGCGAATAAATTTAATAGTCTACCCGACTGCTTCACCGATTGCCAACTGTAGTCAAAAGGCAAAAAATCATTGCTACGAGAATTATCGTTATCAATGTTGAGTTTGAGGTACTCTATTACGAAAATAAAAGTAAATAAAAAGGTTTAGATGACAGATTTTAGTCAGGCGCTGATCACCAACTGGTTATTGATATTCGTATCACAAATGCAGACAGTTATTTAGTAGAGTTCATATAGAAATGTATAAAGTGAATCCATTAAAGCTATGTTAATTAATAATTAGTGTTAGACTTACTAATTAATTAAAAAATTAATTGTCACAATTCTAAAAAGCTTTTGAATGTGATGTATCTCTAAAACTTTATGTTCATAATCAAACTGGTGTGCCAAGTTATTTTGTTGAATAAATAAATCATACATGTACACGTACGTACGTACATATCTACAATGTGGTGTTCGTTATTTAATAATTTGGGTTTTTAGTTTTTTAGCGTCATTCCTGTATTTAGTTCGTGATTTAAACACAAATCCAACCATTATTTACGAAAAAAAATTAGTTTAAATATCTAAATTTTCGTTGTATGTCGCTGCATCAACGGACGAATTTACATTTTTAGCCGCCCCTTGGAAAAAGTTATATTTCTTGTATATCAAACTACAAACAGACTATTTTGTTTTTAAATGTCAATTCGAAAAGTTATGTTAATTAGAGTGTATTTCCAAATATTTATGTATTCGATTTGTCGTATTTAGTGGTGGTTTTCTTGACGAAATTGGAAATACAAATTATAGATGGGTCCTACTCCACCCGATCTTTTCAACGGATTGGAGATATTTTTCTTCCTCTGGATCTAAAACTTTTAAAGCTATGTCAACGTCGCCGTATATCTCGTACAGCACATCCCTCCATCGACTGCGGCACTTACCGTCGACATCAATTGAATTTTACAGAGACCGAAAAATCAGTGTTTGTCCATTTTGGGCAGTTCAAGATACAAAATTCCAGAAACCACTCATGGGTCCGGCGTTCGCTTACACCATTCTTACCTAAAAAGTCTCTATGGAAAGAAAAGTTTCTTTGGAAATTGCACTTACTTTAAATCAAAAAAAAATTCCACCTCCTTAACTAGGTATGCAATAGATCAGTCGTTGTAATGTGCAAACGCTAAACATTTTGTGCACATTTGTAGAAATGTGTAAGAAATCAATAATATAATATTAAATATATATATTATATACATATATATCGCTGAAACGATTTTTCGGTCAATGTTTGCGTCTTGATGTTTTTCCAACAAATGGACCGCTGATTTTTTGTTGTATTTTTTTATGAGGAGCATTTATTTCATTATGGAAATACACTTGGAGTGATGAACATTCTCTGCCGAGGGGCGACCGGAATTAGAAAACTTAACTTAATTTTTTATTTTTTCATTCTTTTAATTAAAATTAATTTTCCGTAACTTATGGCAGTTGGTGGCACAGGTATACGAACCCGAGCCCTCCGAATGTCAGTACGCAATACTAACCACTCGGCTACCGCGACCGCTTTTTGTGGCGCTTTTAATCATTTACCCTTCACCTCCTTTATACTGTAAATTATTAACGTATAATTATCTAATATATATTAACTAATATAAAAATTGTATTAAATAAATTTAACTTACTTTTTGCCAAAAATACTGCTTTGTAAAATATATATATATTTTTTCAGCGAGATATTTAATTGCCTTTGCATATACTTATGCACATACATAAGTATGTTTCCTGAGAATTTAACGCATTATCCGATTGCACAACAATTAAAGAGTTCTTATATAAAAGTGCTCGAGCGATGTTGTCCTCGCGCAATATTAAACATTACTCAGTGTAAAAATCGATTTATAAATTATTTGAAGGCGGGTTGGTTCGTTTCATTGAAATTTATTATGCCTAATGGCCAGTAAATATTTGTACCTTTTTATCTAAAATATGAACAACTCAATGCAATTTCATCTTTCACTAAACACGAGATAATTTTTTGGTTTTGATTTTATTCACAGGGCATTTATAACAATGTCAATATTAAATAGTATATTTGCCTGAAATGGCCAGCAATGTATTTACTTTGTAAAACCACTGAACGATATAATATTTAACAATAAAACAGTATTCAAACAATTTTTTTTAATTAACAGAACAACGTTCGATTTAAGTATTATTATATTAACATTGTTTTAAAATTGAACTATTACAGAGTTAGAAATAAATAACATTATAACTATTTTTGTTTTCTTTAATACAAAACTTTCGAATTCACTACCTTCGAATTCATCGCGCAGACTCCATTATCGTATGTCAATGTATACTTGTCTGTATGTAGTTGCAAACATGTACTTATTGAAAGTGTGGGGTGCACTCGTAATTATGAATGTATATGCACGTACGATAGCATTTAACTTCTACTGCGCACCCTAACGGACAGTTATGATGTTACTTTTCCATGTCTTACAATCAGTGCTGCTATTTGTGAGTGCAAAATTTATAGTTAAAAACACGCTCGGATAAATTCCATCATAAATAATCAGCTGTGATTCCCAAGTAAAAAGAATTTGCAACTATCATTCTGAATCGAATCTCAAAATTTTGCTTTCTTGTTGCATGTTTTAGAGGTTATTTTGTGCAAATCAACGCTATTTATTACAATTTACATTAGTTATAACAAATACTTTTAAAACTAAGAAAAATATTTACTGATTGAGAAAAAATTAATAAAATTTTTCAAGCCTCTTAAGCTATTGAAAACCGATAAAAAGCGAAATTCTTCTCGTGAGAGCGGTGCAAACAAACATAATATTTATTTTTAATTTTTTTATAGTCCCTGTGCGCGCAAAACTTAGTAAGTTTCTCCCTTATGACTTTTTAAACTAACGCACTTCATAGAGCTAAACATTTTTTTTATCAATGCAACTACATATATTAATGATATATTCTAACTGTAAGTATTTAGCGATATATTTACTGTGCTAAAACGGACATACATATGCTTATATATTTGATTGTCTCTTCATTTGTCATATTTCTTTTGTGTTCTTGTCTACGCATTTGTTTTTTGCTTACTGCTGCGGATTTGAAGAATGGAGGAAAGTTGAAACATATTTATTTATTTATCCTTGCACTAATCAGAAACAGTCGCAGTTATTTGGAAGAAATCATAAAATCAAGCTAGGTAAAAACATCGGCATAAATCATTTCTTCTCGATCCAAATTTTAACTTTTTTTATTTCAGCTTTACTTAATTGCTTAAGTTTTTTGTCAATTTTTAGAACCTCCTCCCATTAATAATAATCGGATTATCTTTATCATTAACTTCATAATACGCACTATTGAGCGTGGAATTTTGAAAATTTTCGACGAATTAAGATCACCAGAGTTAGGTGGTGGCCTGACGATTCTATGTCCAAAACATTTGCATTATATACGTACATAGAAGCGATTTGTAAATTTTATTCTGATGTCCATTTGGCTTATAATAGCTAAAGGTTTTCCCTGCTTAACAGTCTATGAAGGAGGTAATTTAGATTCCGACCCATGAATATGCTAAGTATAGTTAGCTACGAATGATTTGCAGATTTAGATAAAAGGATCTTAAGTATTTTTAACGCCGTCAATACATTTTATCCTATTCAGTCAGAAAAATGATAACGTAATTTCAAATACTATGTTTTAAATCGGAGACAAAATCTCAATAGACCTATAAACGCAGGATAACGATAATTCACCCAGGTGAAGTCAGATTTGGTAGAGATTTAAAGATCATATTTGTGTATGCAAATATGAAATCTGACTAATGGATAAAGCATTTCACGAAACACTCAATAAAATGCATAACCTCAGAAAATATATATTACTCTTCTTTATTGTCGTTTTTGTCTTTTCGTAAGCTGGCAGCAAATTGGGAACGCCAAATGAAGACATATCCTTCCACAAATGATCTTTCTAACCGAGTAAAGATTTTGCCCTTCATCTGCTTCCCTTGCCGTACGGCATAAAATTGGAGGCATCAAGTGAATACATATTCTTCCACAAATGATCTTTCTGGTATTCGCCGTCACTAGTACGCAGATGCGAATAAATTGTTCGAGAAACCTTTCTCTCGAAAACTCTTAGTACCAACTTAGCAGATAGCGATTTATTCGTGGAAAGGTAGCTTTATTTTTCATATTTCCTATTAAATAAACATTAAGCTGCAAGTTCAAAGTAAATAAGCCAAATGCTCGCTGTCGTCGAAAAAAAAAATTTCGTCTTGGATAATCTAGCAATTAACGGTAAGTGATCGTTGTATCTTGGAGGTCTGCCTTATAAAGTTTTCACTGGTAATCGGAATTGAACGAAAACGGTATGCAGCATTGAATTGTATTTGACGATTTGCCAATCAATATAGCTGGGTGGTATCAAAGATTAGGCCGGGCTACTTAACAGAGTTGGAAGGAATTATAATGTTAATTGATTAACTTTCGTTTTTCTGGTAAAAAGGTTGATCCCAGATTATTCAAGATTTGCCGAGATTTCAAGGAAGCCACAATATCTGTGAACTGTAAAACCGTATTCACCTGAGTTTCAAACTTCGTATTTGTTGTTATCGGCATTGCAATGTTGTCGATCAATCTTTCTTCCAACCATTATTATTAGTTTCTAGATAGGTGAAATTTTGTCATGGCAGGGGATATTTTGCATTATTCAACATTCATAGATCAGAGGGGCAACGACGTTAAAGTTATTCAGAACTCCTGAATTAAACATAACTGAATCCTAAACCCATAAATAAAAGTAAATAATTGTAGCTTATGACATACAGCCGTGGGGACGGATTAAAGGGAAGCCCGGATGCAAAAGCCAGAATTATGAACATATTAAATAGTGATCAAAGTTCAGGTAATAGGGAAGAAAAGCCAACTTTTATGTTTCCAATTTCGTATGGCTTCTCGAGTCGAGAAGAAGCTCTGAATGTAACGCTGTCAACAGAGAGTGACAGTTTAGTCGTGAATACAAGGAAGTATCCTGGGATCAACCACGTCGAATCACTACTGGATCCTCTTTAGATTAACTTGAATGCCTTCTTGGTATGATCTTACCTTGAAACCGACTAAAAGTCACTGCATTGATTGATACCAAATTAAACTGGAAGTTGAAGATGACGCTGTAACAGACGTTTATAATCGATTATTATCCGGTCTTACCATCTCCGGATATTGCACTTACGCTCTTGTTATGCAGGCTTGATTTGAGTTCCTTCTATAACCTTAACCTGAATACCTTCTTGGTATGATCCTACCTTAAAACCGACTAAAAGTCACTGCATTGATTGATACCACATTGAACTAGGAGTTGAAGATGACGTTGTAAAAGACGTTCATCATCGGACATTGCACCTTCGCTCTTGTTAAGCATGCTGGATTTGTGTTCCTTCTATAACCTCAACCTGAATACCTTCTTGGTATGATCCTACCTTGAAACCGACTATAGGTCACTGCATATTTTAATGAACCCTTCTAGTATAACTTTAGTAGACCAGCTTCTCAAGCACTTTAGCGACGGTGCGCATGGAGAATTAAATTTCATTTCACACTTTCCTTAAATTGAACACTAAAGGCATGTCTTCTGTCTGCCTCACTGTGATCGATTTGGTTACGCGATTTTCGATCTGGTGATTGCAATGTACAGTGAAGAATATCCTTGTGGCGGAATATGCAGCTGCTTATAATCATATTTCGGCTCGCGTTGATCAGCCTCAGTCGTCTTTAGGATGCTTCATCACGGATGCTGAACTTTCCAACTACAGTGCCGAAGACACATTCTTTGCCCACCCTGGCGTTAAAATTGTAAAGCACAATTTTGACGTCGCGGCAGGCGCACTTCTTGGACGGCGGTGATGCCAGCATTTGCAACAACAACTTCTCAGTGACGAACATTCCAGATGCAAGCTCTCAAATCGTGAGGCTTATTGTGGTTTTTCATTGGGGCAGATATTTTTTATGTGGTGGGTCTCTAACCCTACACACAACCATATGGGCTCGCTTTCCCTCTTGAGCTCGCCTAAAAACTAATGTATGTACGTGGCTACCACGATATTTGGTCTAAGACCGACGACGTGTGCTGCAAAGTCATATCTAAAATAATAGTTTCTGGCTACTCCCATGTGAACGGTAGTCTTTCCTCATTTTCGTGAACTTCTACACATGGCCCCATACCAAATTTACGATTAACAAAAGGCCAATTGTTGGATGTTTGTGGTCTCAATCTAGAATATGCACGTTTTTCTCGTGGCCAACATTGTTTATCATAAGGTGGTTTACTGAGGAGTGCAACCCACACACCAAAATACCCATACATGATCGATAAATCAATACTTTATTTATTATACTAATAAAAAACATATGAAATAACTAACATACTCATGTGTATAAATACATATGTACTTATGGTATATTCATATAAATACACGGCAAATCTGACAAAACAAAATTCTGAAGCAAATAGAGACACAGCTTTTATGTTGATCAGTTTAGCGTACTGGCATTCCTCTATAGCTCTCACCATATTTATCACTCTCTAAATACTATTTCATTGGGTATGCGTATTTGAGTCTGAATCGAATAAGCGACTGAGCGTTTTCAAGACATTTTCCCAAAGTGGAGAGAAATGCAGTTTTAAGGCGCTTGGTAACTTTCAATTTCTATGATGTTGGACCGGGGTTCAGCTCATGGCTCTCATTGTACTGAGATGCGCCAAATTAACTCATACATTAAAGGAAAATGAAGTATTCAAAATTCTGTTCAGAATATTCTGCGCCGGCAAGAACTATTTATTAAATCGATTGATTTCACCATTTTTGTATATTTTTAATATTAAGTTACTTCCTTGCTAATATTTCAAAAAAACATTTATCTCAAATTGTTTTGGGAAAAAAGAGAATTGTGAGCCGAAATGTCAGAAGAGAACTCTGTTATACTTGAAAAATAATCTAATGATTGAATGAGCCGTGTATGTATTTGTATTTATAAATATACCCTCTATCAAATTTTCGAATGTATAAAATTTTCAACATGAATAGGTAAGTAAAAATAAATACAAATTCTTCAAGGGAAGAAGTAGTTGTTGCAATATACCAGAAAGCCCAAATAAACAGCTCCATTGCTTTCGATATTTGGAAGCGATTTATGAAGCCAATCGTCTATTTGCTATGAAATCATCGGGATATAATAATTTAGTAGCCATTGATACACTTTGCGCTTTACCGGTCCGCTTCCAAAGAATAACAATTCGTTGCTGGGATATGTTTTATGTTTACATATTTATGTTTGTACAATATGTACCTACAATAGCCACCACATAAGATATATTCGACCGAGCGAACGCAGAAATAAGTACCAAATACAGCATTCAGCATTCACGGCGCACGAACATCAATATGCGTACCTCCCGACTGCGCAGAAGGCGAATATCAAATTAGTTCTTATGTCTGCATGTACAGATATCTAAATTATGAGGGTTGGAATACCGAGCAACATGCAACAGCTGAGCTGTATGAAAGAACCAAACTAAATCAACAAACGAAGCTGTGTACACGGGTTGTGTGCTTGCCGGGCAAGACAAAACGCCATCAGTTGAGTAACGAATGAGTTCGGAGGCAAACGTGTGCACGGATAAATTACAGATATTTTAGTACTCGATTAGTCAAACCTCTCAATTAAGCGGAATGTAACGTATATAAAATAAATGAAAGTGTCCCGCACATTGATGCTGAAATATATAGCATCACATCATAAAAGTGAGGAGAAAAGTATTTATATTTTCCCCGATCTGACATTAAATTAGAGTCATCGATTAGCGTTAACAACATATACTAGTTACCATAAAGTTAATTGGAGAAAAATTTAGTAGTACTTGGTACTATTATGCTTACTAAGATGGAAACGAAATTGCATTTCTATATTTCTCTTGAAACAAACTATAATCTTGACAATTTACTTTTAATCAGTAATTAAAGTGTATGAGCGAGCCTCAAAACAACATCGGTTTACTTTGACCTTAGAGGCAGCGCAGCTTAATTTTGTTTAGTGTTTTCTTCATTTTCACCTGCTTACGATGTGATTAATGTACGTATTTGTATACTTTTACACGAAAATGTGTAGAATGCATAGAACAGAAATCTGATGCACCCTTTGACGAAATCTGTAATATGTGTAAATGTATTATATATGGCTATACGTACATACGTTTCTTTATATGTGTTTGTAAAAGAACAAAGTAAACAAAAATGCGTTAAATACGAAAGATCTTGCAGTCAGTGTTCATTGAGTTCGTTCTTTGAAATAAAAGAAAAACACCAAAAAAGCTTATATAAAAATTCGGGTAATGCAATTTGTGAAGCTATATGAAATAATATATTTTTGATAAAGTTTTTGGAGCATAAAATATTTGGAAATGTAGCAATAAGATAAATTTTTCAACGCGACCAAGATAAGAAAATAGAAAGATCCAAATGTGGTTACGATGCTACATCTATAAATGTTAATTAATAGTCATTGGCGGAATCAAACTTTCCCTGCAACACTAATGCTTAAATGCGTAGCTTACCAAACCAGAAACTACTCCCATTTATAATATTTTCGTATATCCTATGGAAGAAAAATTTTCCATTAATTATTACAATTTAGAAAACAATTGTCGATTTGATTGCATTAAAAATGCACTTGCTGTGGATAATCAGTATTTTAGGAATATCGCTGCTCCACCTTCAGCTCATTAATTGCAATGATCTTGAATTGCATGGCATCTTAGGCAATAAAAACGAAAATATTGTAGGAAATAAAGGTGTTTTTAATAGCAATTCCGGTTTAAATGGAAATGATCTCGTCTCAATAAATATTAGCAACAGCATGTTGGGAACAATATATCCTGGAAGCGGAGCGGCGAATAGAGCTCAAAGTGCTGAAGCAAATTTTGGAGAATCAATTATTGGAGAAACAGTTAGCACTGGAGCGGGGTTGGCAGATCGTGGAAGCCTTAAACCTGGAGACAGTGAAGTAACACAAGCAGTAGTACCCGGTCTTGGAAGTAGCTATGATGGAATTAACACTGGCCAACACAGAGGACATAAACAAATGAAAGCTTATGGCCAACAATATGGGCATGCATTAGCCGGGTTATCTAATTTAGGGATTATTATACCTAAAAGTAAAGGCCCATACGATGAAGACTTCTCACGCATTGGTGGGGTAGGCGGACGCAAAATACATTCAAAGGTTGATACTGACGTTGATTCAATGGAGACTACAATTAGCGGAAGACAAAGTACATACGTGTGAGTACCTCCATAAACTAAAAACAATGTAAAGCATTCACAAAAAAATTTGGCGTATATATACATTCTAAATACGTATTGATTAGTGTTTAATAACTTTGTGTTTTAGAAAACGTAAGCTTTAAATATTTTTTGTATTTTGAAGGTAATTAATCAAAGCATAATTAGATCTTGGAATATTGATTTCATCCTTACACGTATATTTAGTTTTTTTCCAACAAATTTTAAGATTATTTTTATTTATTTCTTTCATATTACCCTTTTAACATGCATATGTATGTATATTCCTTACATTAAATCTCATGTATTGAACGCATTAGCTTATGTATTGCGTAAATTATCTTACTAAATCACACATCCTAATATTACTAATGTATGTATGTATGTACATACCTACATATGTATATCCGATATATCACAACCCTTCGATTTGGATTTGATTTCAATATCAATATTTTACATACAATATGCTTAATGCTCTTGGATGCGCAATTGTGGCAATTTTGATACGAAAACACATTTCTGAAGTAAAAATTCCATGGAAGCTGTATATAAACATATGTATATGTGTTATAGTCCGGTTTGAATGATTTTCAATATTAATATTCTATCCTACAATGGGTGAGCAAAATAATAGTTTTCATGCTCTTAAACACTTAATTGTAAGAATTGTATTATGAACTCACATATTTGAACAATATTATGGTGGTAGGATTTCTTATTAACCAAGAGACTAGTTTGCATTCCAACAGTCAGTCAGACGGATATAAAAAGATCAACTCATATCGCTGTAGATTTTAACTCTAGCATATACATACATATGTACTTAGTTTCTGATTGATGAGAGGTATGAAAACGTTTGAATAGAAAACCGCATCCATTACATTTTTCGAACCGAAACAAATGGGCAGATCTGCTTGAAATTTTTTACTTATGTACCTAATCATTTTTGTTTTGCTCTAGGAAAGTGGGTTCGAAACTGGGGACTAAACTATTTGAATAAATCATATAGAAACATTAGTAAGTATGAAGCTTTTTACGTAGATTAGTATATGAAATACTTATCTCATTGGGGGGAAGGGGGGGGGGGAGGGTGCAGCATGTAACGATCTATTTGAAGAAAATCATATTTATGGTTCGTTACGCTTGCAATTTGGTAAGTGGGCAGCATTTTGCCTAGATTAATAAAAAAGAACAATCTTCTTTCAAGAATGTGGACCAGTGACAGCTCTTTATATCATATTTGTAAGGTAAACTAATAATTTTTAAGACAACCAATTATTGATGGACTTTTAAGGTTATTTGCGGAATAAAGGGAAGCTGCCACGCAACCAACTAAGATATCAATAGAATCTGCATTACTTTCAAAAGGCTGTGACTCCGCATTCATTGGGTTTACGTGAAAACAATATAAAAAACTCAAATGTTAGGTCATGAGCTTGCTGCATCTGCAATTTTTCAACGGCTACCTGAACGTTCACGAGAAATTTTCGGACAAATGCCAGACTATTTCCTTTCGGATACAAAAAACAAATTTCCAAGAAGGTTATGTCGAATTAAAAACCTCTTTTTAGTATTTTTCTCACATACTAAGCATACATATGTAGTATACGTATATATTTTCTATACGAGTAACTGGATTCTTCTACTCATTCTAGACTGCCTGCGAACTTCTTATTATAAAAAAATTAAGCAAAAGTGCTGAAATTCTCTGCAAAGGGACTACGGTAATTAATTAAAAATAAATTCCTTCTATTAAGACATTGGTCTGGACAGGACTCAAGCCCATGCCCCCTGTATGGTAGTGCATACTGTTACTGTCTACTGTAATCTAAGATTTACACATTTTTCCATATAAACTTGTTTCTATTTCTACTTCCTTTTAACAGAGTTTAGCCGAATTCAACAATTTCAAGTTTTTACAAAGATTAAATTAATAAATATACAAACATTCCTTAAAATATTTAGAATTTCTTGTTTAAAAATTTTGGCGTAAATAATAAATGAGTTGGTTTTGGGTTCAGATTCAGTAATAACGAGAAAAATTATCTTCCAAGGCGTCAAGTGTCTCGGGACTTCATAGTGCGCTCACCAAAAGCTTTCTTCAGCAAATTTATTGTTTGGTTGTCAGTATTTCGTGGAGTACTGTCTTGTTTGAACCAAAGGTCATCCACATCGACATCCTCCACTCCAATTCAGGTACGAAAAAGTTTCCCTTCTGCATGAGACATGCAAAAATACAATTTGTGGAAAATGGGATCCGAAATAGCGCTCGAATTTAGTTTCAATGTTTGGCTTTAGTAGTTTGCTTGTATGCAGAAATATAGTTATATGCTCTTGCAGATGAAAAGCAAAAGCATTTTAGTGGTGCTTAAGCGGTTTCAGTTATTATTATTGTAACATGTTCATATAACTTTAGGGGGCTTGTATCTTCTATTTCGAATCTTTCAGCTTTGAGTAGGATATTCGTTTGAAACTATTCTTCAGCACGAAAGTATTTTTTCCTTCAATTCACAGGTGTAGTTAATGTTGTATTTACATTTCTTTTATTCTTAAGAAGAATCTCTTTGATCTTCACAATTTGTTGCATCAATTGCACCGACACACATTAAAGTAAAAGAAACAAATCTATATAGATACATATGTATGTGAAAATATTTATATATACTCGTTTTATGAATGCCTTCTTTTTCCCTAATATAGTGTAAGAAAGTTAGCATTCATACGCCTCCTAAAAATATCTCGGTGCATACAACCTCAACTTTTATATTCTTCACAAACTACATAAACAGATAAAAAAGGCAAAATGTAAATATATATACATGTGCGTATATACCGTTGATTCCCTCTAGCAAATTTTGGAGGCCCGCAATTTTAAAATCACGGTGCGAATGCAGATCGTTTTTCAAACATAAGTGCATTTTCTTTTATGGAAAATTGAGGATATAGAAACCAAAAACTATTAGTACACATTAGTTATGTTTTGCAATTTTAAATAAAAATAATAATGGTGGTCAGCGTTTATACAGTTAAAAACAGAATAAAAATGTTGGATGAATATAGTACAAATTTCACAGACTTGGTTTCAATTAATAATTTAATTTTCTTTAAATATAATATATTTAAATGAATTGGTGATAGCAATAGGTAAAAACATGAACGAATGTAAAATAAAACAAATGGATTATATGTAGTTGTAGAACTAAATTTCCACGTACGTACCAATTTCGGAGCAAATCGAATCATAAAAAAATTTTGTTTTTCGAATAGATTAGTGCCTGGTTCACTTCTCGAAAATATAGGGTCTACTTTTTTATAAGCAAGGAACAACCTACGCATCAATTTTCAAGAATCATTTTATAAATCCGTGCAGAAGCTGTTGAGTTTATTATGATCAGACAGACATAGTTTTATAATATGTAAAGATTCCACTTTTTGATTTGCGTTATTATTGCCTGTGTTATTCAATAATACAAATCATTGGACAGTATTTTAATTGTGCGATATAATTTCTCAAGATACCAGATTTCTATCACAGTCATGGTGATCGAGATGTAATATGTAAGCGAAGACTATAGGCGCTGATTCAGTGGCAGATCGTACTTAAACGTTCCTTAGAGCTGTCGTAGAGGGGAATTAACACTAAACGTCAAATGACCTCTTTTGAAAATTGACCTTTAGTTCGTACATCTATTTTTATTTGTGTCGATCATTTGACTTCTTCAAATTCATATATCATCCGATTATTTAACTTCCCATTTTCCGTGATCTCGTAGTTTATTTTTTAACAACAAAAATTCTTTACCTACCTTACGTACCATGGAGGGTCATTCGACTTTGTATGAAGTTTATGAATTTTTTAGTAGTTTTCCAACTATTTTAGAACCTTAGCTCTGAATTCAGTTACGCTTCTCAAGTGACTCTTCCAAGCAGTTGCAATACACGACAGTTTTAGTAGCATTTTGACAATTTCTGTTCTATTGGACTTGTGTTTCACTGTAACCCTGAATATATCCGTATGCTCACTGAGAGAGTTGGAAAAAATTCGACAAGGAAGTGAAGTAAATTCAGGTGATAAAGATTAAAGTTCTGAAGATGATCAACGCGTCAAGTCAAAGTGATTTTCAAGGCAATGAGAAAACTCAGGGTGATTATGTGGTTGCTGATGAAAATGAGTATTGTTTGAATCTCCGTGGAGGACAGATAGGCTAAAGATTTTTATCGGATTTTGAAAGTGGTGGTGAACAGAATTTTTAAGACACTCTTACGGCAGTGAAGCCGTTAAGACCATCACTTACTTTCAGGAAAGTATCAAGGCCAACACCACACGCCAAAAGAACTATTATGTCTGGTAAAGCATCATCCCCATTTTTCGTGATAATGCATCACACCATTATTGAATATATAAAGAAATACAAAGGAGCTTTACGAGTTTTGGGGACTGCATGGAAAAAGAGGAAACCGACGAAAAGGAAAATCAAGCAACTCCAATAGTAATTCTCAATCCAGAAAAAAAAGTCGAATAAGACTGTCTGCAGGCAATAAAGCAACACAAACTTAGGTAATTTGTAATAAATTCGTATGAGGAAAATGTACGATGGTGAAACCCATCTTATGTAAAAAAAATGTAATTAGTCGATTGCTTTTTTATAACAATGAAAATATGTATTTAGTGTTACCAAAAGATCGGTCAGTTGTTTGTTTTTGTCAAATCCAAAAATATCGAACCCTTTGAAATTTCTTTATTAGTCTTCTTTTCAAATTTCAGAACAATCGGCTAAAATTTAGGCGGGAAAACGCAAAACAGCTGAGGATATGTCATTTTGCTCAATTTTTCGTAAACAAATTCAAAAATGGTCAGTCTGGCAACTTTAGCAAAGTCGTTGCTGGTGACAAATCTTGGTTCTATAGGTAAAATCTTGATACCAAACAGAAGTCCATGGTATGGAGCCCAACAGGAGAAGACTCACCCATAAAATCTAAGCAACAAAAATCAGCAACAAAAGTAATGATTTTAGTTTTCTTCATAAGATTTGAGAACCGTTTTTAGAAGTGGATCTATATATATAATTGGCGCTTTGTAACCGCTAAAGCGATTCTTGGCCGAGCTCCTCCTACAATTTGTGGTTTTGCGTCTAGATGCACTTAAATGGATTAACGGTTCACTCCCAATATGAGCCATAAAATCGATTTTTTAATAGAGTGGTTTAATTCTCGGAAAAAAATATTATGCAAGCTAATCTAAGCAACAAGCTATCTTCGTTAGTAACTAATTCCAAGTAAATCGCGTTAAGCGTTTTTAATAGGTTGAAATGTTTTATATCGAATCATAAATATGTTTCTTGAATAGATATGTCCTTGGCCTGCATCCCTAAAAAAGTAACAGGTAACCTTTTGTTTAGATTAACATATAAAATATTTCTTTCCGGAACGTGGATCAGTGATCGGTCTATCCAAAAATATCTTGTCTATGACTAGATATGCTTGAAACTTGATACGCAGGCCATTTACCAGTTTTAACAAATATGATACTTTTTTCCGGTAATAAAAGTTTTATTTATTTTAATTTTGCAGAGCAGTGGAGATATTGATTTTAGACAGCTATTTGCTGTCATTCCTTACCGCAAATTTGCTGGCGAAATTAACACGTGTTTGGAACAATAATTTTTTATGGAAAAACCTTGAAACACTTCAGTTGACCATAAACATGCGAGTACAATATTTTCAAACCAATTTGTGAATATTACAAACGGTAAAATCAAACTTCATGTGAATGCAAAATCTGTATTGCTCATTCAAAACAGGAACTAATTGAGATTGGATTACCAGACATACATATTATGTAAAAAATAATTATTTTGGCCATAAGAGGTTCAGGAATTAAGTAACTTTAGTATATCGTGTATGTAGATTAGAACTTTGATTGGTTTGGATATGCCAGGATATCGCCACACGAATTTTTCTTGGGTATTGCTTCTTAAATCCACCAAAATTATGCAACGACCTAAGGTTAGTAAACAAAATTACCAGAGACGTACTTGAAGTAACGATATAATTGTAAAATTTAAATAAGACGTCGACAATTTCAGCTGGTCACATTAACTTGGACTTGGATATATGACTCCCATCAACATTATGTTCCCGAGTAGGAAAACCATCAAATATAATATATTAATTTTAACGCAAGACAGGTAAACGAGAAATATTGTTCATGGAAAGTATACATTGCTAGATTATCAATTATTTAAAAAAATATGTAACACGCTGTCAAAGATTATCTTTATTATCAATTATCGACCTCATTCATGTCATTTCTTTTACAATACCAAGAAGTACCCTGTAAGCAGAAAATGGTAAATTGGCTAGTAAATTGACGCGGGGACTTGACGGACACCTTCGGTATTTTCCCCACCACATTCTTAAATGCATCGTGCGGTTTTCGTCCATTTCTATTCATGTTCTATCTATCTATCTATCTATATTTTTATACAATCTGCTCTTAGAGCGAATTAGTTTAACTGTGTCTTTGGCCTAAAGGAAGCGTACTATCCTAGCAATATTAGATCTTAGGAAAAGAAGAAGCTTGTGAGATACATCACTAATTATAAAATTGTATGCTATTCCATTTAGGCTGCATTGTTAAATATTTATAACAGGGTTATAGGGATACTAACTTTGGCATAAGAATAATATAATTTTAGAGCCACTTTGAATTTATGTTCTTCGGTATAGTTATACATACAGTATGCTGTCGCTATCACTGATATGCTTATCTTCCGCTCATTCTTTTTCTACCGAATTTCTGTCAAGGTTCAAATCTAAATCCCCCACGCTTATTTTATTCTGCTGAAAATAACCGTATACTGATCAGACTTAGCATAAGTTCCATACAATGAGATTTAAAAATTAATTGATTTAAATGATTCATTAGATTGTACAGATCGAAATTAAATTATAATATTATAAGTAACGTAGGAAGCACCCTAATGATCTAAGCTTACGCTGAGATGTACTTACGTATCCACAAGAAAAAATTAATAATATATATATGATAGAATTTATTTAATATACTTTATTATTAAAAGGATAAGACTGATATGTACGTGTGCATACATATTTTGGTATATTTTACACAAACAATCGCATTTTTATATTCATACCCAATATTCGAGCAAATAACTGTGATATGAAGCATTCAAGATTTTAGTCATCAGCTACGGCATTAGAATGTAATTTCATCATGAAACTAAGGGATGATGGTTGCATTAACCTTCGCCATTTGCCAGTACGGTATTGTTTCTGTTGATACGCCCTCCGTCGTTATATTACAACATTTTACGACGGCTCATAAAATTTTCGCTATGGGATTTGGCTTTTTAAACTTGATGTTTTTGGGGGATGCGCAGGGCTTTTAATGAAATACTTTACAACATTTTTATAATGACTCCGTTTTCATATATGTATAGCATGAAAATGCATTCAGCATTATAAGAGCAGTGACTTTCAAAAACAATGGGATGTGGATGGTAATAAACACGCGCCAACGTGGTATTTCGTTGCTCACCCATGTTTGTGGTATTCGTTTCGCTCGTTTCATTGCCATTGTATTATGACAAACTCTTGCACAATTCTAATATATTCACTGCTGGAGGCTACTACTTGCTGCACTTCACACAATGATTTTGCTGTACTTTTATTATTATTACAAATGTATATCCAATTAACTAAGTCTTGGGGTCGTATTATTTTTTGTTCATAAAACAGTTTTTGTATTTTCATTAGGGAAGCGTGGGCAATATGAAACAAAATGTGTTGAACCAAACTGAGAGCAACCAGTATTAAACCCAAATGGGGATGTATTTAATATTTAAAAAAATTCAGATGTAGTAAAACTTTTTTTTGAAGCACCAAAGAATGTTCATTAAATAAGATGTAGGCAACATATACCATAATCTATGTTTTCATGTTCATCATTAAATCCAGTAAAATGGGTAGTAACAAGTTCGATATCTGACCAGCGCAGCACCTAAAAAATTATGGATGACACCAAAACCTCCCCCTGCTTATAAGCGTGGATTATTTTTAATGGAATAATACAGAAAATTCAAAGCTTATCAAGTGAAATAAAATTCGCACCAAACTTGCTGTTATGACTTCTTTAAAGATTGGTACGTGTCAACCTCAGTATAATTAGGCCCCTTATTATTATTTCCATGATTCGCAACAAAAATTTGTTCCAAGTATACAGTACTTTACTGTATCATACAAATACTTTATTTCTAGTTTTTGTCTTTCTTGCAAACTTCCACGATAATACTTTGACGTTGGACATAACTCTGTGCTCTACCCTCCTATATATTTTCAAAAATATGGGTAGTTAATATATCTATGTAAAACGCACTAGCGAAACCAAACTTTGTTCTTTTTTAAACGAAAATTTTAATTGAAAACATTATGGTCAATAGAGATGATTGAGTGTATAAATAGATGGTATAGGGATAAATAGTTCAGTAAGAAATCTTAAAGTCCATAGAATATCGAAAAATGTATTGAGGAGAACACACACACATTCTTTAAAATGCATAAATATATATCACCGAACTTTTTTTCTGGACTCTCATTTTTAAAGTAGTTGTTATTTAGCCTTTTACCAATCAAATCATAATAGTAAGTTATTATTATAATGATATTGTAATAGTTTCTTATATTTACAGAGAACACTTTATATCTGAACATACCATAATGGCAGTTTTCACATCACAAGGGCAAGTTGGTGGCCCTTGTTTATATATGCCCGCTACACGCCGTCAAAATCATCAATGTCGAAAGGAATTTGGACTTCCCAATGCGATCTTTGAAACTCGTCGACTAGCAACTTCCCACTGTGAAAGTCAATTTAGATACGATCGGTGGAATTGTTCCATTGAAACGCGAGGCAAACGAAACATATTTAAAAAGCTTTACAAAGAAACAGCATTCGTACATGCTCTTACAGCAGCAGCTTTGACACATACAATAGCTCGATCGTGTGCTGAAGGACGAATGACTAAGTGCATTTGCGGCCCAAGAAAACAAAATAAGATCGGACAAGATTTTCAATGGGGAGGATGCAATGATAATTTAAAGCATGGAAAAAGAGTGACAAGAAGTTTTCTTAATTTGAAAAGCAGTATTGATGATGAAGTTTCCGAAATTTTACGTCATGACTCAGAGGCAAGTAGATAAAAATATCAACATTGTGTTAAAAACAGAGAAACTTAGCTTTTGTGGCATCACCAAGCGTCAACATCTTCTCCAGCAATCCAATTATTTGTCAATTGTTTTTGACGAAAGTTTTTAATTAGTAAACATATAATGAAATCTATCAAGTAATTAGAAGCATATACTTTGGAACTAGCAACTACACAAAAACGTGCCTCGCTGCACCATAAAAGTAGCTCTGCTTTTTATATTAAGTTATACAAAAAACTTATATTTGTTGTGATAATTTTTCTTTAATCAGATTTAAAAATTTTGAAATTTGAAGTATAGTAATTGAAGAAATACGTGTAATTGAAAAATAACGTGTTTCAAAAAAATTACCCTTCTTAACTTACATACTTCTAATTAAAAATAATTAGCTAAGATTCCAGAACCATGCGGCGTGAGAGCTACTTAAGCGAGCAGTTGCTTGCCTTAGGCACGTGCTCGTGCTTGTTTTTATTTGCCATTCATGCACTTACATATATTATGTTATACACAACCATTCCATATTTTGTTCGATTTGGTTGAAATTTTACACACGGTTTAATTTCCTGGAGATATTAGGTCTAGTAAAAGGAAATCCATTACTTTTGCATTAAATTGAAAGATTTTTTTACCATGCTTATAATTATCTCTTTTGGCAAATTGGGAGAATTGATTTTCACAGTCTTCTATTGAAGTCAAATTTTCACCAGCAAAATCATTCGCCATGCACAGGAACAGGTGGTAATCACTTGGTACGAGATACCGATGCCCAAGAATCAGCCAACGAAGCTCTCGGAGACTCTTTCCAGTCACTCTCGATTTGTGATATGGCGTTGTCTTGATAATTGTGACAGCACAGGTCCGAAGTTAGAGTTCAGGTATAGGGGGCCAGCTCATAGTGTATGATTTCTTGCCGATCCCACGAAAAACACAGCAGAACCTTCCTGGCCGTCAATCCTGTCTTGGATATCGTTTGTACCAGATCAGTGCCCTTCGACCATGACCGTTTTCGTTTGACATCGTAGTAAGTAATCTGCGTTTCATCACTAGTCACCATAAGCTTCAGAAAGGGGTCGATGTTGTTACAAAGCAGGCACAAATCGCAGGTAAAAATACAGTCCAAAAGATTTTTTCTCGTTAACTCATATGGCACATATGAGTTTCTTTATGCTGGCTTTTCCGAATCAGAAACATTATACACATTTTCAGCTGCCTGACTTGCGTTTTCGTCGTTAACGAAGACCACTGTTCTTGGCAGAAAACTTGGTTTATTCTTGGTGAAATATAATTCAGTACAACAAGAATATCTAGCAACTATAACCTACTCCAAAAGAAAACATAATAACCATTACGGAGTCAATACTTAATATAGCGGAGAATTATAAATTAACGTCTCTAAAGAAAATTCGCGGGTTCTTACCTTACCTTGTTCTTATTACTTTTCTACGTGATTTCATCTCAAATGGAAAACTTAACATTCAAATCCATAACGTGTACCATGAACAACATCTTCAAGTAACCGTATGCTATAGCTGCGTTTTTCAATTTGTATAGTATCCTGATGAAACCTTCACCATGCTCATCTGTTACGACAATGAGTTTTGGGAAAGAAATCAACATACGTTCAAAGAAAATCAAACTTAGGCGACGTATTGTATACTAGAGCTTTATAAGCAGAATAAACAATCAATTCAATTTTAGGCGAGTGTTATATATCCAAAAACATGTTAGACGCACTCTTACAACTTTTTCTTCTTTGTTAAACATAAAAGTTTTTTTAAACGCAAGAGGAACAAGAACCGAAATTTTCTATTAAGTATTAGTTGCTGTGGCATAATGGCGCGCAAATGTATTCAAAAGTAAGAAATGAATTAAAAAAAAAACATGTCGAAAAATCTAGTTTGAAAATTCCGGTCAGCAGTAGCTTTCGTTAATCTCTCACCGTGAATAATGATCTGCACATCTTGAACGTCCATCACCATATGACACCTGACGCTTCTGCAACGGCGTATTTTATTAATCATTTAAATTTAGCAATTGTCTGTTTTTCCTAAATTACATTAAAAATAAATTATGAAGTTAATAGTAATACTAATTGACACAATTCAAATTTAGCTAGCGCAGGCAGTTATCACATCGATGGGCCCAACGTTGGACAATGCTGGATAATTGTGTGAGTATTTTGCTTTTAAATTCCTACCTAATCCAGGATCAAGATTTGCCAATTAAGTATTAAGTATAAAACATATGGTTACAATGTAAATTAAATTAAGTAAACTGACTTATTCGTTTCAACATCCTTTTGTTAAACGTTTACCACTGAATAGTACATTTTGTTCGATGCCTTTAATGTTATTTCTGCATTGTTTCCAATGCCTAAAGCAAATATTGTAGATCATAAAACCGATTAATCAGTTAATTTTTTTTCCTTTTCTCGGCCTTCTGTTAAATGTATATTTAATATTAGATAGAAGGTGGCAGTGCTGCGAATAGGAATAAAGGAACAACGTAACTCAGCTGTTCTAAACATAAATAAAGTAATATAGTGCAAAGAAGCTTCTTCAAACCTTTGCTCAAGCTCATGAATATAAAATATCCGTATATTTTCCATTATATTTATATATTTTGGCAAAGTATAAGTAAGTAAGTTTGTAATAAAAAAGATGTCGCCGTCGAAAAAAAATGTTATCCAGCGCTATGACAGTTGTAAAAAAGAAAACGTGTTGAAAGTGAAGTTAAATTTTAACTTATATACTTTAGTTGCGTAGACACCGCTCACGGGATTATAACCGATTTAACAACATTGCGCCATTCGTTTCTTCTTCTTTTTGCTGTTTGGCGCCAATTGGAAATACCAAGTACAGCCAGGTCCTTCTCTACGTGGTCTTTTCAACGATGTGGAGGTCCTTCTCTTCCTCTGCTTCCACCGGTGGGTACTGCAAGCTGGAGTATTCCACATGACCTAGCTAGCGTAGCCGCTAGGCACTCGAAAAACGGCCCTAAAGAAATAAATATATTCATATATGATATTTAGACTCAAATCATAAAAAACGAGCTTACAATGAATGCCTCTGAAGTTTATAAGAGCTTTCGTTTTAATTTCAATTGTGTCTGTGAGTGTTTTGGTTGATTAGTTAAAAGGGGAGTTTGAGGATCTTACCCGGAACAACCACACTTAAGCCACTGATTTTGCTAATTTGGCTATCCTCCGTACCCTGCCATACTCATCTCCGTTAGGCTGAAGGTTAGACACCCATCGATTCAACTTTGCCTAGTTTATTGAGATGATATCTCAAGTTACTCCGCCAATATACCTATAAGAATACTAGTAGTCGAGAACGACTATTTCACAAATGAAACAACCTCACCCATTAAAATAATGTTCACTGTTCACGGACAACAAGTCAGTTAATATCTGTGACATTCACTTATTTGCCTACTTACACTTGCCTATTTCACGCACATTTCGATATGCAACCAGTGTATACACAAGCAAATTTTTGTGCCAATTGGTCTAACCAATTTTGCACCAAGGCAAGGTGCCGACAGGTTTGAGTGATCCTCCAAAAACCGCCTACCCAAATATTTGGGAAGACGTTGGCGACATTACATAATGATTTTGTAAGTCTGAAATCGATGAAATTTTTAGAGAATCTTCTAATTTGGGATCGTGCGCCTTTGTATTTCAACAATAAACTTGGTCTGCATGTAGTCTTATTCGGAGAAAAGGCAGTTGTCCATTGCCTCTCCTATCGTATTTATAATTTGAAAATGCGGTTTTATAATCATATAGGCATTAAAGTGTTTTGATTTTTTTGAAGGCTCTTCGACAAGATCTTTATACAAGCCTCTTTTAGCGTAGATCCGGACAAGTTATGCAAGGATTAGAAAGTACCAGACACCAGAAATGAGTTGGAATCCTGCTCAATACTAAATATGATGCAACGGAAACTGAATGCACCACAACTTAATGATTGAAACAGTGATCCTTAATTCTAACTATAAATGGGAATCAAGAGATAGAAATTGCCAGTATGATACTAAAATTGTGATTACTAGGCTACCCAGGAATTTTAAGTGTACACAATTAGTTGCTTGAAAATATTGGATGCTTGGGTATTTAGAGAAAGCAAATGCAGATAAATAAGATAGGCGAGAATCCAAATTTAAATAGAAACTAAAAATTGATCTGTTAACTCGGTGAACATAAGATCCCCCCTGTTCCTGTTTCAGGCATCAAAGTCAATCTGTCAAGCAATGAGGCACAAAAGTTCTATCTGTCATCGCCGTATTAGAGTTCCTCACGTCTGCCCGTCGTCCTAATATAAATACATATAAATTTGTTTATTTGCCGACGGCATTTTCTCGCATACGAGAGTAAACAATTCATTTGTGAGAATTATAAGGCTGTTTTACAAAATACGTATATTATATGTACCTTGCCTAACAGATGAAACCACTACGACAAAGCAAAGCAAACCTAGCGTTTTGGGAAATTTTTTAACAGCTACATTATTAATATATTTCTGATTTGAACATGAAGGAACTCTCTGACGACACGTTTTATTTGAAAATCGGTCAATTAAAAATAAATTGCGAATTAACTTATCAATTATGGCCATGACGTTGGAGTCAATACATCTTTAATAAAATGGAAACTTTGAATATATAGTTGGTGTTGGTATTTTGCACACTAATCTTTATAATATTGTATAAGACCGCTTATAAAAGAAAAAGAAATTCTCAGAGATCATTTTAGACTAAAGAACAAGCTCCTGTTTCGTGCTAGTGCCAGCACAACATTTGCCTCAAATGGGAGAGCAGTAACGAGTTGTAAATCAAAGATGTCGGATAGTGATATTTAGTTCGTCGGAATCAATTGGCGAAAATTTCCTTGTGAAAACATTTTTGGTAGTTTTAAGATAGATTTCCTTCGAAATTTAGCAAGAATTGAAATTCCTTCTTTAACTAAAATTGTACTTAACATTCAGTTACCTCATCGATGGGCCCAACGATGGACAATATCAAATAATTATATATGTAAGTACTTTGTTATTGGAATTAAATTATTTAGCAAATTAATTAAGATAAAACAATTATGTACATATACTCGTATGTGTAGTCTCTCTGTGATTATATATAAAAAGCCAAATATTTTTACTTTTATTCACACTTTCAACAAAAATGGTTTTGCACATCACTTTTCTTTTCAAATTAATAATCTTAAACTTAAACTTAAAAAAATGGTGGAAATGATAAGTCTGTTAATTTGTCCCAGAGTGATATATTTATATTAAATTGTTCTATCCATATTTAATCAATGTATTTCTTTAGAATTTTCGTCACACCTCCTTACACCTATGCTGCCTTTAGTTAATAGACATACTTACATGCCACTTCTCTCTGTTACCGGCAAAGTAAATTTTGTTTCTTAATTTCAACACCTGAAGTTGAATTTGGTATTCTAAAGCACTTGTTTCGTTGTTTGAAGTTGGTAAAGTAAAACGAAGAATATTCATACAATTTGCATTTCATTTGTTGTTGGGAAGAAAATTGTCCCGGCTTTTACTTTGACAAACAAATTTGAAATACGTGTATAGGCAGAAGGTTGGCTCATAGCAGTTTGACAATTGCTCCCAACGCATTCCTGGGATCCGGGGGAAAATAAATATATTGTTGAGAGAAAGGTAAAAAAAAAACGGCAACTTCTTCTGTTTAAAAAATTTTTACCACGTCATATGATGCCAATTCATTATTAAGCTCTAAAAAAATGTTCTGTTCAGACGAAAATACTGAATGACAACGCCATCTTCCATATTAAAAGGGTAATTTTTTTCTCGTAACTTCTTAACATGCTTCTTTGAATTCCAGACGTAAAATATACCTCTACATTTTGGTTCTTATTTTTTTCTCAATTTAACAACACAAAATCAATCAAATTGTTTGCCACCTCCTATTTCGCGGGTAAAAAAATTTACTGGGTGACAGGGAACTCCGTAAACGAAATAGTAACAATATTTACTGAATGGTATATTTGAATATGACCGTTTGTAAAGATCCGGTTTTCTCCAAAAGTAGCCACCCAAATAAAATATTGTCAGAATGTTTCTATGGTTCCTGGGAAGATTTACAAGGAAACAAATTTACGCGAAGTGGGCCAGGACTTTAACTTATAAGTGTTCTTCACGCACTCTTAGTTATACTGCCCTTGAGAATATGACATTTCTTTGATGTCTTTGATGTTTTCTGTGACGTTATCGTGGGCTAGGATGAGCGTTCAAGCGACCAGCAACCAACTCGATACTCAACTATGTAAAAATTGGTCTTTTCTAGCCTTAGAAAGATTAATTCTTTAAAACTACATAAGAATACAGTCCAGATTTAACATCAATCACTATACATTATCAACCAATTTTAAATTTTTACCACACAAAAGAATTTTTTAGTTTCAGGCGCAATCAGTGTTTTTTTCTATAAACAACCAACCAACAGTTTTTATACACCATCTAACATTGCCATTTCCTTGTGCCGCCAACTAGTTCAGAGCATCATTATTTACAACGTGCCATATAACCGGACACTATTTTTTTGTTTGTTTAATACACAGCATCTATCACCTATCACCGTCAATTGAAAGGTACGTGAGCGATTTCAGTGTATTTGATAAAAATAGAATTTCTTTTCTTCTTGTTTAATAAAATCAATAATCATGAAACAAAATTAATCGCGTTAATTAGGGAAACATAAGGAAAGGTTCACAGTGAATTAGTGATTTTCCACATACCCTAGTTTAATTTAGTAATTCCTTTCTAAGAGAGCGGTCAAGGATACTAAATTCTTTTGAGGCAATATTTATTAAGTCTTCTTAACTACCAATGTTGTAAATTTAAAAATTTTAAAGAATTTCGACTACCATTTCATTTTGTACACCGTCGTCGTTTTCGATAGTTTAAGAATGGATTGTCCTCATTGTGACCGTAGCAAAATCTTTACTCAATTTTGTTATGTCATTCATTTAAAGTCTTTTTATATTTGTTTTTGTTTTGAATTGAATTTTTTGTTATACAAGATTGTTAAATTAAACAACAAATAAACAAATAGGGTTTTCGCTCACTTACTTAAAACAAATAAAAAAGTATCTTTCTTTTAATAATTTTTGTTTTGTTGACAAAAATGTAACCACATAATCAACAAACATGCTAATTGCTGCCGCCTGAAATTATCTCAAACTCTCCAAACTAAACACAAAAATTGCGCTCTTGTTAGTTTTGGCTTTTTGCTTCACCGAACGCAGTACAGTAAAGTTCAGTACTAATTGTTACTACCCATCAGTGAACATTACTATTTAGCTTAAGAGGTTGCTGTACTTTATTTCGAACTAATGAGCTTTTGGGAGGGAAACTGACATCTCATGTGCAGTTGCCTTTGAAAACACTTTGCAGGAGATATAACTGTTATTACCAAAGACATACTTATGTACATATTTGCATTAGAACCTTGACTACAAGAAAGATGCGTTTTGACTATACCACAGGCGTTATTCCAGAATATCACATCATGTTATTTGCTGCCTATTTGTGTGAGATTTAGCATGCAATCGACTGTTTAAATCCTATAGCCATCCACTATTATGAGTAAATTGAGTTGCGTTGCTACAAAAAAAAGAATAGGTCCCGATATATAGCTTCCTAATTTTTGTTTTATATGTAATATTTAAATCTTGCTGCTTTTCTTATTTATAAAATTTGTTTTAATATTAGGTCGGAATTGAAGCAGTTTCCACGCTTATGAAAGATAAATGCAAATGTCATGGAGTCTCTGGTTCTTGTTCCATGAAAACTTGTTGGAAAAAATTATCTGAATTTAACGCAACATCAACGCTACTGCGACAAAAATACAACGAAGCTATTCGCAAGGCTCCTAATGTGCGCACAATACGGCGAGACGTTTCTGGAAGTAGGCTAAAAAGGATTAAGCAGAAAAGAAAAAAAGTAAGTTGTTTAATTATTGAAGAAATTTAAATATATAAGGTTAAAAAATAACTTTCTAGCAATCTCAATATACCACGCTTTATTATCTCGAAACTTCGCCAACATATTGCTCTGTTACAAAAGATCGTCAATGCTTACATCCGGATAACTGTGCAACTCTATGCTGTGGACGCGGATACACGACGCATGTATTTAAGCAGGTTGAAAAATGTCGCTGCCGATTTAATAATGGACGCTGTTGCCAACTTATTTGCGATTATTGCCAACGATTTGAGGATAAATATTATTGTAAATAAAAGTTTCATACTTTTCAGTCAGAAGTATTATCTTTGTTATTTTTTTAATTATAAATAAAGCTCGATTCAACCAGCTATAAATAAAACCATATATTTTGGCATACCAGAATGATAAAACCTTTTTAATAAATTAGTTTAAATATACTCAATGTTTTAATGCACATTCTTTAGTATTATTAAGCAATGGCCAGTAAAGTTAATACAGTTTAAAACGAATTATTGATGGAATTAAAAGCACAAGTGCTCTCATCTCCAATTGTTCATTCATTATACCTATACAATTGGTGATGAAAACAAGGAAAAGAGAAAAAATGCACGATTGAAAATTGTAATTTTAAGATGAATTTTTATGTAATTGCACGTTCGTTTGTAATTATGCATATTCATAACAAGATATTTTAAATACTCTCAAAAAAAAAAAAAGATTAAATAAAAATATAAAAATATACAAACAAATATAAAACCAAGCAATTTTAATCATATGTAAACACAAAGATGTGTATATATATGTGAAACAATCAATACTGTTCTGTCCATAAAATTTTTTACTAATAATGTCGATAAAACATAAGTATAAAGATACATTTAATTATATTAAGTATTTAATGTAAACAAACACTTTTTAAATATTTTGTATTTATTTCATAAAAAAATAAATAAATAATGCTGCGTTAAAGTTATATTTTTATTTAATTTGATATTTCACTTGAAAGAAAAGCTATGAGGCTTGCCAAAGGAAATATATTTATGAAGAAGAAAAGCATTGTTGCTAAAATATTGTGCATGTATAATTTTCTGAATTGACGTGCTTCTTTAAAATTAAGTTAAAATTTAATAAACCTAATACTTAATAGTTACTATATGTACTTATATCTAAGTTAAAACGAAAGAGGTTTTTATATCTAGGACTCAATAAAGTAAGCTCACGCATTCATAATATTTCGGGTTGAATAAAACAAAACTAAATTGAATAGCGGGCGGGTGACCTTTACAACAGAATATTCCAATTTAATAGTATTGATTTCTGCAATTTTTAAGTAGTGAAATGATAAAGCGAATAAAAAAATCGTAACCATTAAATTTGTATGTGTATATCCCCGAATTTCGAGCAAAACCATGCTTAGCGTCGTTTTCACGAACTGTCATTTGAAGACCGGAAAAATTTACATCACCTCACGTTTTTCATTACGTTGTTTTACCACAGTACTTATTCTAACTAAATATTTTTACTGAGCCGAGAGCGGGTAAATGCCATTATTGAGTCAGACAACTCAACTTATATATTTTATGTAAACTATTTTTTCAAGATTGTTGACAATAGTGATTTTTCGTTGTATTTAAGGCTGACGTTGTTGCTGGTGCTAATACTGGCTCTAACATAGACGAAAATACCTCCAACTTCAGAGTAGGACAGTTAATAGTGACGTCGGAGCTGTGTCACGAATCAGAAGACGGTGTGTTTGATGAAAGGAGATATTTCGTCTTGTTCTCGTTCACTGTAACAACAAATCGGTTCGCTTCATTATAGAATGTGGAGAAAACGGAACTCACAGTCAATGATGTCAATAGTTCTGTTCGGCGACTAGATGGTCAGTAACAATTTTTACTGAACTTTACTGAACCGTGTTCGTTGAGCCAGAAACCCAGTAAAACTAGTAACGAGAGAGCACAATTTTGACGTTTGGTTTCGAGAGGAAGTTGCAGACTGGTGCTTAGCCTTGTATGTGTATCGTGCATGAACTTCCGCGTACTGTTGAATCTCTATTATTTATTATACTCGGATTTTTCGTTAAATCCTAATAATCCGTGTATACTTATAGTACAGGGTGCGCTGTTTAATCACTTCGTACCAGAATTCGGAACTGAGGATTGTCCCACAGAAATCAGCGCCGATTTGATTTTTTCCGTAAAACCAGCTCGGCTCATTTCTCGTTGCTATACAAGGTTGCCAGTATAGTCTTTTTTAAAGTAATATTAAATAAACGAATGTAAGAGAAAGGGAATGAAAACTAATCATTTGTTACCTATAGATCATGTATATTTGTCTTGCGTTTATATTCAAACATATAAATTATGAAATTTGTTGACGAAAATTATAAATTTGTTCAAAAGTGTGCAAACACACTGGCAGCTGGCAATATTTCGCTGCTCTCAGTAGCGTCGATAACTCGTATATATATCTCGCTCTTCCAATCGGTTGCTATGGAAAGATAGTATGTAAGATGGGTAGTTGCAGCATTAGAATGAATGCACGCAGTCCACGTAAAACGATTTGTTCAAAAGTATAGAACTATCTCTTGTCGCATAGATAACAATTAAATTTTATTACTGCATTTCAGCCATTGACATTACTAAAACCATTTATTCAGGGGTAAATGGCAAATCATTTAATTATAATTTATATAGTGTAATGTACAACACTTAAGAGAGCAATTTTATCAGGCAAAAGATAAAATATTGCCGGTATTAAGACTTTTCAACTATTTTCAGAAATGTCCGTATGATCATTTAAGATAACGTAACATTAATTGATTTTGTTAGATATGTTTACTTATATAAAAGTAAAGCGTTAGCATATAGTAAACATTTTTTGTAGATCATATGTATTATTAACCTGTTTTCTTAACAAGGGAAATATTGAAATTTCAGCTTCCGAAATATTAATAGTTAAAATCTTTGTTTATACTTTGCCTGCTTTTAAAATAGACAAACAATTTTTAAGGAAAACTACAGTCCAAAAAGTAAATCAGCACCGTGTCGCTGTTCTCGTTCGACACGTTTTGAGTTTCAATTCGTATCTGAAGATTTTGACATTCCCTTTTATTTTGTTTATCACTTTGAACTGATTGTAGCTGTCTTAAATTTAAAACGAGTAAATGCTGTAAGCTTGGAAATTGAATTGGGGATTCTACTTTAATATTATATTTAATGTATGTGCGCGCAAGCATATTTGCCTATTCGAATATGGTATATCTAATTATTAATATTTCAGATAATACATAAGTTTTGCAGATAAAGTTGAATTAGTTTAAGAAATATTAGAATGTATTGAAGAAGTCGTTGAGATGATTGCGAAAAGGATGGGATATATAAAGTTTGTAAATAGATTACACTTTCGAAAGGATAGAGATGATGTTTAATCGAATGTGAAGATATGTTTGTATATATAAGAAAGAGATATATAGAAGCTGTGTCTTCCTTTACATGTTTTTATCTAGAAATATTGAAAGACTATTGCGAACGAAAAATTGCGAGTATATAATAAAGCGGAATAGAAAAAAAATTAAGAAACATATGTCCAAAAAGGTTGCTTGAAGAAAGTATCTGTGTGAACGTGAAGGGCGACACAAAAAAGGAAATTACGATAATAAGCGACAAAAGTACCCTTATGTAAATTCAGACTATGATTAGCAGCATCGCTAAAAATGTTCATTTCTCATAACTAAAAGAATTGACAAATTGTAACCGCCCACCCAGTTATTCTAAGCTATTCCCTGTGTTTTGACAGCCTCGATCATATCATAGTTTGAGCTGGCAACTAAACATGACCGAATCCCAAATTATTATTAAGTGAGTAATATTCATATCATATTGTATTTGGCTTTGTGGCAATAATGAAAAGACGAAAGATGTTACGAATAAGCTCAAATGTAATACCTGCACATTTAATATAATAATTAAAGAGACAAATGAGTAGCAAATTACAATATTTCTTAGCTCGAAATAAAGTGTACTCTTATGTGGTTTGACATTCCTTTATTTGCTTCGTTCACTTTAACCCGAGATTTCTTTTAAGAAAATCTTTAAAATGCCAGTTGTAAAGGTCGCCTTGCTTTACAAAATAAATCAAAGCTTTACGAAAAGACTTCTCCTATAGTTTTTCAAAAACTTTAAATACAAATAAACCATTAAAATGGATTATGAGCATACATAAGTACATACATATGTATGTACATACAAACATATTTTTTTATGTATGACACCTATATCACACAACATTCCGAATTATTGCCATAAACGTAATTTTATTCTTTTTGGCCTCTGTTTTGAGTGAAAAAATATGTTATTTATCTTCGTAGGTATTTTATTTCATAAACAATATTTTTACTGTATAGCGTACTTTATTCTAATGGAGAATTATTTGCACTCATACTTCCCAGCACACTATACAAAGTGGATACATTCATATCGACTTTTATCGACGATAACCATTCATTTGAGCAGCTAACACTGTGTCTCGATTAAAAGATTAAACAATTGAAACTAATTAGGTCTCTTTTAATTTACTATTGCTTATATGAACTTGTTGCGACTTTTTTTTTACTAAAATACCACTTTAGTTACATGAAAGCACGGAGGCGTAAAATATGACTAAATGGAAAGCCTAAATGATTTATACAGGCTCACATATGTTTGTAAATATGCAAGCCTATGAATATTATTCATTTATGCGAACACGCTCTTGTACTCCTCATTTGCCAGCTAAGTGAACGCACTCTTCCAAACGCAAACCAATGTGTTCGCTACAATGACGTAAACGATTTCTTACGCCTCCCAATGTTAATGAACGTATTTTTTTTTCACTAACAATTTGATTCAATCGGCATTAATTTTTTTACTCAATTCGGCCTAAGAAAATTTCGTTCACTTGTCAGAGAATCAATTAGCCTACTCAAAATTAGTCGGATTTTACCTATTGTAATTCAGATATTCAAATACGGTAGAGAGGGACTGGCAATCTGTAAGCATTATGTTGCAACTACCCATTTTATGCTGCAACTACCCAACTCACGTACCAGCCGTCCAAAGCAACCAATCTTATGAGAGCGCCATGTAAACACAAAGTTGTCACCGCTTGTCCATGACGTTAGTGACGGTTGTTCCGCAGAAACCAACGGCGATTTGATTTTATCCGTAAAACCGGCTCGGCTCATTCTTTTAATAATAAAATAATAATAATTTATTTAATATTTATTGCTGAAGCAAATTTCTTTTGAAACAAAAACAATGGATTTTTTTATTGACATAGTGGCACTGGTGCGTTTTGCCCATCAGATGTTGAATGTTCCCCGATCTGACACTGCTGCCAACATTAGAATGTGAGATGGGGGAACGCTCTCAGCTGCAATTTGAGTGACTTTGAGTAAAAAAGTTTCGTATCTAGTCATCTTTGCTTTGCAGAATATGGTCGGTGATTAGAACCGGAGTGTACTTCGACCGATCCATAAAAAGGGGGATCCTTCTCAGTCATATATCGTAATTTGTGAATGATTAAATCAACAAACTGATTGGACTTTATCAATGTGACTTTTAAGCTAGAAAATCTACAAATGTTCAGATATTCATCTTGCAACCCGTGAAAAGGAGATCGACGCGGACCACCTCTTTATCAACAACACGTAAAGTAACTGTCTCTAAACCGCTCTGCCGGAGTTTGGTATCCTTGCAAAACTATAGCGGGTATGTAAATTGATATGAAGCAATACCAGCTCGGGAAGGCCCTTTCGGAGCGGTTCGATACCAAAAGAGGTTTCAGATCGTGTGAATTATTTAATATATTGCCGCAGAAAATAATACGAGCTGGCAGCAGAAAAAGCAGAAAAAGTAAAATCTGCTGGCGTCGATGACCTT